AAATTAATTAATTTAAATGTAGGACAGCTGCAGAAAAGCTCTGGCATAAATGCAAACAAAAACACACTTGAAATGATGCAGGTGAAAAATATTTAAACATCAGTAAGAGGGAACAAATCACTTTATACATCAGATACAACAGGCTTATTTCATATTTAATTTAAATCATAAAGTCCAGCTTCAATTCAATTAAAATTTTATTTATATATAAAGCACCCTTCATACCCAAAGCAACTCAAGGTGCTGCACAAAATTATACACAATAAACCCACAATATAAAAAACAAATAATATTTACCCCTCAGGCATGCAACAATACATGTCTGTATTGAACCATTAAGTGCAATGCTTTAGGTTCAGTACACACTATGTATGGAACAATACAGATTTTTACATTTATCAACTTGTCTTTTGAAGATGTGTTGAAGGCTCTGTGGATCTGTGWTCGACTACTCCTCCTAGGCTGCATTGTGGAGCGCAGATCCACTGAGAAACTTGCTGTTTCTGCAACATTTAATTAAAAAACTGTACTTTTGAGGTTAAACAAATGTTCATAGTTAATTTCTATAAATTACAAGTTAGGAAGGGCATTTAATTAATTAATTTATTTATTTGTATTGAAGAAATATCGAACCACAACACTAAAGTATCGAACCGAACCGAACCCCCAAGTAGCGGCTGCAGACTGCGGATTGGGATACTAGATGGGCTCGGACGTCCAGCGGGCATGGTTATGGCTTGTAGGAAGGTTAATATGAGATTTTTTTTTTAAATGGGAGTGGTTAATTTTAGAATTTAGCATCTGGGGTTGGTTAATTTTAGAGATGAGGGCGGAGTCAGAGGTCCGACCCCGCCTGTTATCCAACCCCGCCCCATTCCACGGTCTGCAGCCGAACCGAACAGTATTGTACCCCTACTTTTCCTCCCCCATCATAACAAACAAACAAACAAATAAATAAATAAATAAATAAATAAATAAATAAATAAATAAATAAATAAATAAATAAATAAATAAATAAATAAATAAATAAATAAATAAATAAATAAATAGAAGTGTACACAGAGCAGAAATGATCCACTTCAGGAAACGCAGTTAAAAAGATGGATCTTGAGCCTCATATTTGACAAGTTTTTTTGTTGTTGTCATCGTTGTTGTTGTTGTTATTTACTGTTCTCATCTCTAAACTCTATCTAGGTCCAGATGGAGTCGGAGACTACCGGCCCAGATCAAATTATTTCCCCATGTACATTGGTGTGGGTGCCACTTCTCCCGGGGCCACGACCGATCTGAGCTATCTGTGGCGCTCTGCACCGCACAGCCGCCCTCCCATGACCAGGCAGAGATATGTGGGCGAGGTGGGCTGGGGGTGGCAGCACAACCAGCTGTTGAACAGAGATGTGCTGCTCAGCGATATGCAAATCAAGGTAAAAAAATTATAATGCTAAACTTGACCTTGAGCAGCAGCTGCTGATGAGTTTGCTGAGGCATCAGTTGTTGGTGAACTAAACAAAAAGCAGAGAAAACATGCAGGTCATTTTGTCAKTGCTGAACAGAGGGCTGACACATGAATTATTTATTTAGTCTGGATCACATTTATTTAGGTATTAGGTTCTGATTTATTATGCAGTACTAACATTTGGCATTAAGCTATATTTTGATGATGTAATTAGGTGCACACTAAAATTACTGGGTGAAAAAAAATTGTAACTCAGCAATGAGTCAAAATTTGTGCAAACTAAATTTATTAAACAAGCCAATCAGATTAAACATCTTGCAAATTYGGCTTACCATTTTAATTTACATCCATTTTTTAAAGGGATCCATGATTAGTTGTAACATTAGACTTTATTTGATGAACATATATTTTAACTGTACAATATAGACTGTAAAAACACTGTAGGCTGTTTAGTTTTTATAATTTGTAAACTAAAAGTTTAAAAATATGTTACTCGGACGGACGGGGCCATTTTGTTTACGCACAAAATATTCTGGGTAAATGATGACAGGTCGTCGGTGCGAGGCTGCTAACGAGCTGAAGGTTAATCTTGGACAGTATCTGATGATCGGCTCTTTTAAATGAAACCAGAGAGCGTTGACAGAGAGGAGAAGGTAGAAATGACTCAG